CCATTTCCTGTCTCTTGGAACACTCCCTCTTAGAACCCTGATCCACAGTGTAAAAGCTCTGACAAACCCAAGCCAGGCTGTCCTGCCAATATGAAGCCCAAGTAAAAAGTTTGTGTGTGGAAAGAGAGATTCCTGACTGCTGTTCACTGTTCCAGCCCCTAGCCCACCCCCAGCTATATGAGTTATCCCAGCTGAGAGTCCAAATCTCATGGAGAAAAGACAAGCCATCCTGGTTATACTCTACCTGAATTTCTGACCCTTAGAATCATAAAATACAATAATAAAAATTGTCTTATTCCATTATGTTTTAGTTTGCTACACAGTGATAGGTAATCAAAACAAGGAAAGAACAAATCAGACTTGGTCCTTGTCCTCACAGAACTTAAGATTATCACAGTTAAAACAACTCAGAGCTAATATTGTACATCCCTGTGTGGTGTAAGAAATTGAAATATAGCAGCTTAATAGAAACTAGGTAGAAGAAACCTAGCATCTTGTTTATCTTCTTTGTTGTGTACCCTATTAACAGTGCTATTATGTGCCTAGTGCTATACTGAGTCTGGTCCCAACTCTAGAACTTTTCAACTAAGGGTAGGCATTCTACCAGGAGTGGGCACAGGAGGCTGCCACAATTGCACCCAGCAGCATTGCTGCAAATGTTCAGATTTTTAAATTGTTCTTAAAACTTATTCTAAGTGATAAACATAATAGTCAAATATTTCTCAACATACACATCCTTCTCATAGAAAGTGAACATTTTGCTTTTATTATGGTGGGACCTAGATTATGTGAAGTCATGACTGATGGGATGGAAGATGCTATAGGTTAAAATCCACTGCCCTGGGGGAGCTTATTAGTGTAAGATGTGAGGCAGAGTGTATAGCAACTTATTCAGGAGGTGTACACAAGCATCCCAGTAAATATTGTTTCATTGATGTGTTTTCTAGTTCATGTTCAGTAATAACTTTTTTCTCTTTTTAAACCAACATAGTAAAGTTTCAAAAATTCAGTAAAAAGTTAAGGTTAGATTTTTAAAGACTCTCAGGGAAATAGATCAGAAAAAAACACAAATAAATACTAGAGGTCTTTCCAAGAAATTCTATAGAAGCTCTGTAGTCCAGAGGTTACAAACTCTGGACTTTTTTTTCACCTGCTTACATATAATAACATATGTAATTATATATGTTATTACAAATAATTACAAATAATAATTACAAATGCCATCAGGGCCAGGCATGACACTGAAAGTGAGGGAAGTGAGCCAGGTGTCAAGATAGTGAATGGTGAGCTAGAGAGGCATATCCCATCCAATCCAGAGGGGAGCTTGCTCTCAGCTCAGAGCACCTATGCCATGTCCATGGGCCCAGAGATGCAAACTTTGTAAGTTTCCTAGACAAGCAAGACATTCCAATTTTTTCTATTCGATTTCCTAATTCTAAATGTTGGGCCAAATGAAATACATCTGTGGGCTGATATTAAGCAATCTCTGATGTAGACACTTGACATGGATTGATGTGGATATCGGCCTCTCATAGCTACAAAACAGACAAATGAGTTTGGCCAGACCTTGCTGTCAGTGGTTGCAGTAACCCTGGTAAGATTTTGTTTTTTAAACGCACTTCTCCATTAGTGATGGCGAGTGAAATGTCTGGCTTTGCAAATTACTGCTGTCACTTAGTTTAATGTACTCTTGTTTTTACATATTTATAAAAACCTTTTACATTATTAATAGTGATTAAATGCTTAGACACTGAAGATCAATAATGCTTCTGTTCACCTATTTACATTATTAAAAAGTAATAAGTCATACAGAGCACGCAGAATATGTGGTTTACTTTGTAGTCATGTTTGGACGAGACTGAAAAAAAGAAAGGCTACCGGGTAAAATGTATTTAGCAAAAACGGTAATTGAGTTGGGCTTGTTAGAGACTCCACTGTGGGCAGGGTGCATGTTCACAGTTACAATGCACCATCATGGGGCACAGGGGCACACATTCCATGTGCTTCACATGCCAATGCAGCAAATTCAGAACAAGAAAGTCTAGTCTCACTTGGATGCACAAGGCTGAACAGTTATTTAACCTTTTTGTGTCCTTGCCACCGTGTTTAGCTACAAAGCCTTTTAATGGTGGCAGCACTCAACAGCGAGTCATCTGCATGGGTCATGTTTTGCCAGTAGGCAAATGAGCCCCTTGGCACTTCTTTCTTCATCTGCCTACCCAGCTATCTTTCAATTACATGGCAAAAGCAAAAACGCAGAGTGGTTCACCTGATTATGGCACATAAGTGTTCTACAGCAATTTGAGGAGAGCCACTCCACAGTCAGGGATGAATAAGGGCCATAAGTCCTTTTAAGGTCATCAGCTATCCTAGCCTTCTAGGTAGCCAAAGTGGCTCAGCCTAGTGGTTTAGAGTCAGCTCTAAGTATCAGTCTGCTTGGGTTCAAATGTTGACTATGACACTCATTGCTTGTAACCTGGGGCAAAAGACATAATTGACATCTCAGTTCTTGTTGTCTCACCTGACATGTGGGGATAATAACAGTGTCTACCATATAGGGCTTTTGTACGATTCAATGAGATAACACACGTTAAGACTTAGTACAAGACCTGACACATAGTAAGTGCTCAATAAAAATTTCCATGTAGCAAAAGACCCACTTTACCAGTCATTCAATTGTGTTCTTCTATCAAGAGGAAGTTCATTAGCACAGGTTTGAAGTTTATAAATAATGTCAATAAAATGTGTTAGATTGAACTGGGTTTTTAAACATCACTTGGTTTCTAAGTTTCTTGTGTCGACACAGATGCCATTTGTCTAGTATACATTTGATCTAAGCCACCAGGTTTATTTAAGGACAAGTTGAAATTGGGCAGTTGTGGTATAACGGAAAGGTTACAAGAGTTGTTACAATCCAAACTCACTGGCTGTGTGGTGTTGGGCAAGTTATTTAATCTCTCTGAACCTTAGTTTCCTCATATGTAAAATACACCAATACAGATACCTACTTCACAGATATATTGTGATGTTAGAAAATAATGTTTGAGTGCTCTGCAAACTCTATGTACTATGTAGATGTAAGAGCTTGTGACAATGATTATTTATATATGTGATCAGAGTTGGATTTATTATTTTATCCAGAGTAACACTGCATGTGCTGATTTTTAGAGGAAATATAGTTAGATTGTGTGTCCTCAACTATTTCCCTTGGAAAAGGCCCATACCTTTTCTGACAGATTAGATGTGTCTGTAATAACCAAGACCACTGGATGGAGGAGACCTGCCATTCTGAATTCAAATGTGACTTGCAGAGCCAAATGATAACTTGGAACATTTAACAAAAGAATGAGGAAAACTCATCAAACCAGGAGGGCATTAACCACCACAAGTAATAGGTTTGTTCACTTGGTGAGCGGCTGCTGAGCACCACTGAAGCATGAATCTGAACAGCAGGGGTTCAAGTTTCTTCTCACTTTTCTAAGTTTATTGCTCAAACGCCCTGCTCTGGGTTACAATGACTTGTCTCTTGTCTCTCTCAGGTCCTGACTTTCTCACTTTACTTGAGTTCAGTGAGTCTTTTAATATAGCACCATGTCATGAAGGTTGTTATTTCTTTTTGGACTGACTTATCTATACATGGAGAAAGCCACAGAGTTTATGACTTAACATGACTTTACATAGGGAAATGGGAATAATGGCTGTTTTTTGTTCCCTTTGTTCCTCTGGTATACAAGAAATAATTCTCCACTAACTAAATAATTACTTTGACTGTAGCCCATTCAAAAGTTACCCCAGAGTTATCAAGTTGGGAGAAGTGCTTCACAATGGGAATGACTAAGTATCTTGGCAAAGGCAAGCTTTGACTAGATCACCTGGAAGAAAAGGCCTTTATTGTGATGCACTAGCATTTGGGTTTTCGGTTCTGACAGAGACCTAAAAGGTCAGAATGTCATAATAATAAAAATAATGAATAAGATTTACGTTTCAATAACAGTTATAGTACACAATCTGTGGGAAGAACGCTCAGTATTTTAAATTTGCATGCACATGTCCCCCCCCCCGCCCTTTTTCTTCTGTGTGTAGGTCTAAAGTGAGTTTTAATTTCCTTATATTGTCACTGGTTTCAATAAAACCTCTTGACTGAGTTTTTCTTGGGGACTGATACCATCCACCAGTACGCAACTGAGTGGGTGAGGTGCAGACTGAAGCTCCTGGACAAATAGTTTCCATGTTTATTTTTTAAGCTCCTGTTTGCAATAGTCTAGAAGCTAGTGAAATATCAGCTTGTGGTATGAACAAAGAAGGACAAATATAAGAGACCAGAAATGTTGACTTCAGTGACTTACTTATACCTCGTGTTAATGAGTAAAATATGTCATTGCTGAAGATGAAGCAGAGAATAACAATGAGCAAATTCATGTTATTACACTTCAAATAAGTAAGCAATTAAAAAAAAACTTTCTTCACCTAACGGGTTGGACTTTGGTCTCAGATCTTGAGTGACAACTCATGCATTTGAGCTTTCATAGAAGACAGATTTTCACAAGTCTTGCATTTCATGTTAGGAAGTCCAATTCACCCAATTCTTTCATATGGAAAAATTTACACATGGAATAAAACTTAAAGTTTAGCTGCTGAAATTCAAGAAGCTTTCAGGGATCAATCCAGAAGCTAAATAGTGAATTTGCAAATTATACTTCCATCTGTTTTTTGGGTTTTTTTTTTTGTCATTAAAAGACCCATCTATACTTCACTACAATTAATACACAACACAAGTGTGCGTGTGTGTGTGCCTATCTTTTATGATTTAGAATTTCTAGAAATGAGTTCTCTCCATTAACTAATCAGTAAGGGCGTGAACATTCCAGGTAAGCCTAAAAAATAACAATGTGGACTGGGTGGAGTGGGAAGTAACCTGATCTTTAGAAAATATCTTCCTTTCACATTTCAGGGAAAACATGACCACTGTTCATTAAAGAATAAAATAAATACACATATACCTGCTGTCAAATGAAATCTCTGGAGGAATGACATGAGTACTGTCCTTGCCAATGAGGAATTTGATTCGATCATAGAAGAGTCTTGAAGTATGCTGAGAGAATAGGGGTTGGCTTTGCTGAATGAGGTCAAGAGGGTCTGGTGAGCCCTGACAGAGAGGACTTATATAACAGTTGCTTTGTTGACAACAATCAGGGTCCACACAGTCCGTCAAACCATCTGGAAAAAAAAGTGTTGAAATGTAGCTTAAAAAGAAGCAACATAGTTTAAAATCGGCACAAATGGAGAAAAATCTGAATACAGTCAAGGATAACTGTCCATATATGAGTTCAGAATCTATTAAATCCACATGTCTCATGAATTATCACTCATTCTGAGTTTATATGGCACATCAGTAAAATTCAAATTATTTTGTTCATAAATTTTTCTTTCTTGATTTCTCTAGCATTTGTGGGCTGTATTATTACATTGTTTAGCATTTGGATAGAGTATTCTGTGAGATAGCACTCTTTAGAAGTTTCCTTTTCCTCAGCAAGACCATCCTCCAGGCTATAATTATTCTGAATTTCTAACACCATATACAAGTATGAGCACACAATTAACAAATTCTCACTAACTTGAATTTATGCTTTGTTTTTAAAGAGAAAGGAAGGGAGATGGAAAGAGAGAAACAACGATGTGAGAGAGCAACATCAATTGGTTCCTCACATAAAGACCTCAACTGGGGATCAAATCTGCCACCTGGGTATGTGCCCTGGTTGGGAATCAAACCCGAGACAGTTTGGTGCACAGGACAATGCTCCAACTGAGTCATACCAGCCGGGGCAATTTATTGGTATTTTAAAAAAATTTCCCAATATTTTATCAACTAGTAATTCAAAATAGAAATTGGTATTCCCATGTGGATTCTTCCTGAATCCACATTTATTCCAAGAAAAAAAATCACATAGAGGCTTTATTCCTTGGTAGAGGAAGGACGTGGGGGCACAGGGGTTACGGGAGGAGGGGAGACCATGGAGAATCTAATAGGTACAAAACACTGCATCAGGTGCTTGGGGAAGCAAAGAGTTTTATAAAACACCTCTTTTCCTGTTTTCAGGAGCTCAGGAGAAATAGGTATCTAAAAAAGCTGGCTTATACTAGTTTAAAATGCAGGGAGTGTTGTAAGAGAGTTGCACACAAAGAGAGAGGGTCAGAGTGATTAACAGCATATGGACACTTCATTCCACACCCAATAAGAAAAAAAAATTAAAGTTCTTCCAAGGTCCTCAAAGCAGACAAGTGGCCCTAATTTAGATGTTTAACAAGAGTAAATATAGAGATGCTAATCTTCTTGGCTTGTAGTAGAATAGGGAGGCTCAGACAGAGCAGTGGCTCCTTAGGCTGCTGAGGAAAGTTACTGGTACTGGTTCCATGCACCTCTTGTGCTTGCTCTCTCTTATTGACAGGCCTGCTCCCGCCAAGCTGGAGGGGGATGTACCACAGCTGGGGGCAATGAAAGCCAGGAACACCAAGAGTAGGTGGTTGGAACAGTAGCCTTAGGGCACCCAGCAAATATTTTTCCCCACATGAGGTCCTTTCAAATTCCATGTACCACAGACACAACTTTGATTTAAAATGCAGTTTGCTTCTTTCTTGCCATCGCTGTTTGTTCAGTGCACTTCTGCCCTGATTTCCACTTCTCTGCATACATATTTCTCTTTCACTGATGACAACTGTGGATTTGTTTCAATAAGAAGTCCCCTTCTTCTCTCCTTTCTCCCCTCATTCAGCAAATTATATTAACAGGTTTTCTATAGATTTCAGATGTCACTACCACCTCTCTCACCAATCTGTTGTTCTCAGTTTCCTATTAGCACATTACCTCTTAACTCTGCTAATTAAACATCTGCATGCACTGAAAAGCTGGCAAAAATATCAGGCTGATTAAAAGAGTTCTCTGATGTTTGGAATTGGTGCACAAAATACTACACAATGAAAAACTGCCTTTCGAAGGGCAGTCACTTTTATCTTTCAATTTGTAACAAATGCACTAGTAATAATCAGATTGGACATTCACAGGTTTCAACCTGTCAACCACACAATTCTAACTTATTTTTGAAAAGAAATAGATTTGAAATAAATAGCAATGCCCAAGTGATTTTCAAAACTGGGTTCTAAACTAAACACAAAGCCAATTCAAAAATGGGACTCACATTCTCGTCTAGTTATGTGCTATAAATTCCAAGCTAATGTTCCATATTAAGTAATTGCCTATTACACAGGGCCGACCCTCTAAGACCTCTGTTTTCTGAGAGAACAGCGAGACTTCTGTTAAATGTAGGAAGGCCACACCACAAGCAAGCAGACCAATAATGGCATGCAACCTGCAAATAATAATTCATAGGTAAGCCCAGTACATGGGCAAAGACCTACTTGCCAATTATCACATTGGATAACAGCCCATAAAGTATGTCTAGACTGTTACAAAGAAGTGCAAATGACAGTCACACTGCATGTGTGGGCTTCTTTTTTTCTTTTGGCTATTAACGGTTCTTTTATTGTTCTGAAATAGAAGCTGTGGCACCCTCCTGACAGCCAGGCTCAGGGCATCAGATATGGGCATATCAAATGTTCATTTATTTTGCTTTTAGGGCCTATTCCCTTTAAAGGAATAAAAATAAAAGCTAGCAAAAAAGAGGGTGGTTAAATTGTCTTGAAGGACTAAACATGGCATTCCCTGATCCTAGCTTTGCCACAACCAGTAAGGACTATGTCAGTTGGCTCAATTGGGGCTGATAAAGATCAAGGACACTGGTTTCTTCTGTAGGTGATCAAGTCATTCACTATTAAACTTGTACCTGCTACAAGTACACCCTTGGTTGAAAGAAGGATTGAACAAGGGAAAAAACCCATATTTTCCTAATCCTTAAAGTGAATTTTATTTTATTTTTTAAAACTATATTTTTATTGATTTCAGAGAGGAAGGGAGAAGGAGAAAGATATAGAAACATCAATGATAAGACAGAATCATTGACTGGCTGTCTCCTGCATGCCCCCAACTGGGGATCGAGCCCGAAACCTGGGCATATTCCCTGACCAGGAATTGAACCGTGACCTCCTGGTACATAGATCGATGCTCAACCACTGAGCCACACTGGTTGGGCCTTAAAGTGAATTTTAAAATATACATGTTTTCAGAAACAGCACTCACATTATCGCCTTGATAAAAATGGACAGCTATTTCATGGTATGGTATCCAAAAGGATTTGGAAACATGTACAAACTTGTTATTATTTGCCAGATATGACACTAGTTACTTCCACATGTATCATTTCAACTAATCTTTGCAAAAACCCTGTTAGGTAGACATTCGCATTTCCATTTTAAAAATAAAGGAGGGAAGGCTAAATGTGGTTGCACAGTTGGAAGAAATATGGGAGTCATATCACACCCAGTGTATTGACTGTAAATCACCTATTCAACATCAGCATTTAAGCAATATTGCAAGTACTGAGCTAGGCTCTAAGACTTCTAAGCGCCTGACTAATTAATATAGGTATTTAGAACATATGAAGTGGTTGAGATCAAAGAATCAGACTACTCTGATTCTGCCTAATCTTGACTGTGCCACTTAAAATCTATAGGATTCTGGACAAATCAGTTCAACTCCTGAATTCTCTTATAGAGGAGTTTCCTCCTCTATAAGATGGGGATAATATAAATGCCCACCCTATAGAGTTGTTGTACTAATCGCATGCTATGATAATTATAAAGGCCTTAGCGTAGTGTTTAGTATGTAGCTAGCATTCTTGATAAATGTTAGCTATTGCCATTAACAAATTTTTAGACTGTGCAGACTAAAAAAGGAGTCTAGGGATAGTGTCCTAGGGGTAGATGCCAATGGTCTACAGTGGCAGCTTAAAATGTTCAGACTCACTTTTATTGAAGCTGTTTTATCACTGGCCAGACAGCAATTAACATCTGTGTAGCATATTCAGTTCGCTGGGATGTGTTTATTTTGTGAACTCTGCTTGGATAGGTTGTCAAATAGGCAGGATCCTAAGTGGCTCTAAATAGACACTAATGCCACAGTAAATATTCTTTCATTGAATTTTATAAATTCTGAGTTTGTTATCATTTGGACAGGGGCTGGATTGAAGCTTAACCTTTTCAGGATCTATAGAATAGAAGGTCTGGCAAGCAAATTAATAGTGAAAAAGAAATTGAGGGGGTGCTCATTCCAATGACTCAATTACATAAAACCTTGGGTGTTGAAGAAACACATAAACAATGTACCAATGATAAATCAGATAAATCATTCATAAACTTTTACTAAAGCAGGCCCACTACTAGGTACTCCTGTCAGCTTAGTTGTTAATGTTATATGCATTGAAGATAATATGATCATATTTCCTTTGGAAGTAGTCTGTAATTCATTTTTTTCCATTTATTCAGACAGACTTTCACCCCAGCATTTTACTGCATTAGTAAAAAGAAAGTGGGAGAGGCTCAAGTGTACTCAGGATTTGATCTGCTCAAAACATTGTTATTCCCATAACCACATGCAACTTACTTTTTCTGTCAGGAAAGCACATTGCTTATATGCTACTAATATTCACGTTTTCCCATCCCCACCTGCTTTCAGTGGCTTCCTATATCACTCATAGTAAAAGTCCATGTCCTGACAATGATTTACTTCCTCATAGTCTGGTTCTTCACTCTCTCTCTCTTACCTCTCTGATCTTATGTCCTATTAACCCACAACCCCCTTCCCACTCTTCGTCTGCCTGGAATGTTCTCTCTAATAGCAACATGGCCCACCCTTCACCTCCTTTAAGTCTTTATTCAAATGCCACCGTTTTAGTGAGGTTTTCTCTGACCACCTTATTTAAAATTTCACCCTTCTCCTACACTCCTTATCCTCCTCCCTTGCTTTTAAAATAGTTCTTCATCACACACCATCTTCTGTTATACTATATTTTAAAAATTGGTTTATTGTCTGCCTCTCACTCTCTATGGAAGTGTGGATTTAGTATTTTTTATTCATTGCTATTTCCTCAATTACTAGAATAGTGCCTGGCTCAAAGTAAGCATTCAATAAATATTTATTGCATTCCCTAAAAGTCCTAGTTCTCTGATATTTGTAAATTTACCTAGAGATAATAAACATTTAACTAATGCATCAAAAATATATTATATTTATATATACATATATATATGTATATATATATATATTATATATATTATCTCATTTCTTTTCACCATTGCTAAATAGGCAGGAGTCAAGTATTACTAGCCTTAGTTGATAGACAATGTGGCAGATCCAGTCAGAGTGGATAACTGAGTGATAGAGTTTAGATTTTCCAACTTCCACTTGTATCTGGAATCACTTGGCAGTTTAGGCTTTTATAACTAAGTGATGATTCTTTAATAAATGGACTGCTTAAAAACAAGGGGGGGTATGGTCAGAAGACAATACTTAGAAATATGCTTTCCGATGTTAGGTGTTTTGTTCCAGCAGAATCTTAAAAGTAAATGTGGAATGGGTGTCTGGTTCTTAAACAGTGCAAATGTTACAATTTGTTGTTCCTTCTATTTCATTTTCCTTTTTATTAAACAGTGCAGCATGCTGGTGACATTCAGAACATGAAACTTATTGATCCATGAGCTTATATGTGCTCATAATTCACCCACAGTGCTGATTTCCAGATCTAGAAATACTACATCATAAACCAGGCTTGCAAATAGCTATTGTTCTTAATGAATGGTGATTTGTTATGAAGAATGATTCCTGGAACATTATTCTCTTTTAGGCAATTAACTTATTGATTTTACCAGTGAATCTGAACATGGACCACTGGAAGAGTTTGTACAAGGGAAACTTGGACAAATATATGACAACTACTTAAAAGAGGGGGGATGGGGAGGGCCATTTTGATTAAACACTCTTATTCTATATCTTTTTAATCTCCTTGACAATCTTCCCAGAGTATCACAACCCACTTTCCTTCCTCTATACCTGGAGTGAATAAAATATAATCGTTGATAGATGAAGATCTTATGAAATTCACACTGTTCTGTATGATCTGGTCATTGCCAACCTTTATATTCTTGTCTCCCACCAATCTCTCCCTGGCTCATTGTATTCCGGCTGCAGTGACTTGCTTTTCCCTCCTAGAAAAGGCTAGTACATTTCTACCTTAGGGCACTTGTACATGCCGCTTCCTTGGCCTAGAACCCTGGTCGGCAAACTGCGGCTCGCGAGCCACATGTGGCTCTTTGGCCCCTTGAGGGTGGCTCTTCCATAAAATACCACGTGCAGGCGCGCACATACAGTGCGATTGAAACTTCGTGGCCCATGCGCAGAAGTTGGTATTTTGTGGAAGAGCCACACTCAAGAGGCCAAAGAGCCGCATGTGGCTCGCGAGCCGCAGTTTGCCAACCACTGGCCTAGAACATTCTTCCCCTGACTCATGTGAGGCCTCCCTAATCATGTAGACTTGGTTAGGATGCCCTATTTACATTTATAGCACTCTAAAAATTTTATGGAATGCTTTACAGTTGCACATATAGTTATTTGTGTGGTTTCTTTAAAAAACATGTTTTTTTAAAATTGATTTTAGATAGAGAGGAAGGGAGAAGGATATAGAGACAGAAACATTGATGAGAGAGATATATCCATTGTCTGCCTCCTACACACTCCCCACTGGGAATGGAGCTTGCAACTTGGGCATGTGCCATGACTGGGAATTGAACTAAAGGCCTTTTGGTTCATAGGTCTATGCTCAACCACCTAGCCACACCAGCTGGGCCGTTTCTTATTTAGTAGCTGTTTTCCTTTCAAGCCATAAGCTCCACAACGTCAGAAACTTCTCTTCTCTGGTTTGTCATTTTCTCCCCAGTGCCAAATATAATACTTGGCACAAAGTAGTAATGAATAAATGAAACACTAGGTACCCAATATGTTATGTTTGGCTGAAAGGTAAACATATGAATAAAATAGTTGGATCAGTGCTATCCAATAGAACTTTCTTCGACGATGGGAATGCTCTAGATCTGCACTAACAGAGTAGTCACCAGCCTCATGTGATTACTGAGCACTCGAAATGTGACTAGTGGCAATTGAGAAACATAATTTTTAATCTTATTTAAGTTAAACTTAAAGTCACATGTGACTAATGGCAATATACGAGATAGTGCAATTTTTGACATCTCCAAATAGTAAGATATTGAATGGTGTATAAACTTAGCCAAGCAACATAAAGAAATTAGACATTTTTATTAAATCAAATTTATCATTTTTTCCTATTGTAGTTTCTATCTTTGCTATTATATTTAAAGTCCCTTCCCATCTTGAAATCTGTTACTGATATTTTCTTCTAATAGTGTTTGAGTTTTCTTTTACTTTCAGCTCATTATTCAGCTGGAGTGTTTTTATTTATCTTAGTTTTTGGAATATGGTATGAATTGAAAATCCAGGTTTTTTCTTTAATATTTGTCTCAGCACCATTTATTTCATAATGCTTCTTTTCCCTACTAATCTTTGATGCTTGTTTTATAGCATACTAAATTTATATTTGTACTGGGGAGTGTTCAAGATCTTTTATTCAGTTATATTAATTTGTCTACTTTTGCATCAATACCGCTTTGTTTTAATTATCATAGCTTTAAAATATTCTTTAACACCTGATAGTTCTAGCTTGCTCTCACTAGTCTGTTTTAGCTACTCTGATTCAGTTAATATAATGTCTAAATTTTTTTCCCTCATGTCAATTCATATGTGCATGTAACATATAGCTATCATATCTTCTAACCCCCTAATCAGAATACATGATTGACACATAAAAATGTGGTTCCCATAATGTTGAGTCACCTCTTCCAAGCACAGGGTTATGTACCTTGTACATAAATGAGGTAAAAACATTTGATAGGTTTGTGATTTCTATAGTAATTAGTTTTTCTATATAAAATGTCTAAGATTTCTTTCCTTTTCTTGCATATTAATAAATAAATTCCAAGGTTATTCATTCTCTGTACTGTTTTTACTATTCAAGGAGCTCTTAGGTAGCTCCTAGACCAGCTGTGTCACCCACATATTCAATGCAGCCCAATTAGTTACTAAGAGTCACAATGCATTGAATCAGAGTATCACTAAAGTCAAAGCTGCAGAAAGTAGCAGCAATACTAATGAGCATTCAAAGCTGATTAGAATGTAAAAACCCCAGCCACTCTTTAAGTATCAACTATAATATGGAGTAATCAGGTAGCAGGTACTTGAAACAACTGCTTGAATTTTTTTATTATTGAGAAGATTTTTGAAGAATTATATTTAAAAACCCAGGACTACATTTTTCTAAAAGGTTCAATTGGCACTTTCTGATTTCATTAAAATGCACACACACATGCACAAACAAGTATGCTAATATTAATCATTAGTCATAGTCAACTAAATGAATCTTGAAACTACCAAATGAAGGACATTTTATGTATTCTTAGGAATACTACTTAAACACTACAAAATGGAATTATAGAGCCAGTAAGTACACAGAAGACCTAGTATTTGGGCCCAGAAAGTTCAACTTCAAAGCCCTGTGCTCTTAACCACAACGTTGTTTCCACATAAAATTCATAAGGTCTTATAACTTTCTAAGGTAAACTGCTAGCCAGGACAAAAAAGGAGAAAACTCACACTCAATTTGGTGCTTAAATTATGATTGCTACCTTATTGATTTAAACCTCATGTTTGGGTTCAAACAACAAGATATATAATTGTCTAAGCAGTATAGAAAAGTGAGGAGTCAAATTGAATAATCTACCTCATTTTGAGCTAATATACAGAAATTAGAAAGGAAGCTTTCTTTTAATTTTATGTTTCCTTGTGTAGAGAGTAATAGGAAAGTGAGAATTTATTGTTTTAGGCTCATTCAGAGGTGATTTGAGCTGTTTTGAGGCCTGATTGTACAATGTATTAGGTGATTTTGTTTGCTTGACTAAAATAGAAGTGGTTACCTTAAGGCCTTGAAGCTGCATATGGCTTTTTAACATCATGTGCAGCTTTTGAATTAAATATAAAAAATTCTACTGTGAATCATCCTGATGCTATGTCCTTTGAAAGATACAAAGTATTACTAAAAGGTAGAGACACAAGAGGGAGCTTTAAGTAGCTAAGAACAAAGAAAACTATTTCACATTCCATATAGTGCAAGCTACACTAGCATCTGGCAGTTTGGACATGGGTACGCTGATTTAATTTGGTATAGAGTAAATGACATCAGTAAGGGAGGTAACATGGTAATAGTAGTTAAGAAAACAGACTCTGAAGTCATATATCCCTGAATTGGAATCCTGGTTCTGTTGCTTTCTAGCTGTGTGACCTTGGAAAAGTCATTTATCATCCCCACTCCAAGCACTGGTTTTTCCATCTATTAATAGGGAAAATTGTACCCATACCTCATGGAGTTGGTATGGGAATTAAATGAGATATAATGAATGCAAAGAGTTTTGAGTATTGCCTGATCATAGTAAATTTTCAATAAACAGATTTAAAAACAGTATGACCTTATATAACTCAATATTGTTTATACTAAGGATTCCTAATATTCACTCTTGGCTAGATTGGTCATCACTGTGCTAGAGGCTGGGCTATTCCTTTCTAATATGGACATTTTATAAATGACTCACCTCCATCATTGTCCAAGTTATCTCCACAAAGCATTTCCATGACAACATTGCAGCCTGTCCCACTCCAACCCACCTGACACACACAGTGCCAACCATTTTGATCCAGGGTACATCGCCCATTTCCAAAGCAGAGCCCCGGGCAGCCATCTGAAAAGACAGCAGAGAGTAATAATCATGGAGACATTAGAATGGGATTGGCCAACTATGCTGTATCTCCCTCTACAGGGAAGCATCTACCATCTGGTTTCCATTTAGATGAGGTGTTGAATAAATGGAAGAAGAGCTTGCTTGCTTACCAAAACTTCTCAGGAAACTTGTTATCCCTTACTCTGCAGTGCTTTTCCTTAGGGAGCCAATTAAGCATCATTAATGCTAACGCCAATTCCCAACCTCTGGTTCAGATACCAGGAAAACCATGATGGGGACAAAAAAATGTTTTCTGTTTCTTTTTGAAAAAATGTATCTCCTCATCTCAATAAAAACTGGATGGATGATGCTGAATGTAGTTATGGCCAATAAGCTGGGGAAAGACAGCAGTTTCCATGAAGAGAAATATTCCCTAACTACTTCAAGTCTATGCGGATTTTTTCCTTGGGATGCACAGCTTTAGGACTTAGTTATATTGGTCTACAGTTCAGACTTTACCATTGTTTGCCCATATGGTGACATAAAATCCGCTGTAGCTGCTTTACATCTATTCATTTTTTTCTCTTTAAGATCGTTATTAATCTTAGGACTAAAGATTGATTTTCTTACTTATCTGGTATCTCTCTCAGAAGCTAGCATAATATTATGCCTGTAGTAAGTACACAACAAATGTTTATGGAATTAATGCATGTCAAATTTAGACTTTCAGAATTCTAGAGAATAACTAGATAAATTTAGTCAAGAGAAAACTGTTACGTTTACATGACTTCTATCCATTGATAAACTGCAAACATTGGCAATGGTCTCTATTTAGACTTTGATTTCTCAGGGATTCCCTTCTCTTTCTACCAGTAGTTCAGAGTTAGGCTATTCCAAAGGGCAACTGTGCATGTACCAAGTGCTCAGTGGGCAGATGAACAGACACAGCAATAAAGGTATAGAGCTTCTGGAAATTTTCCCAGTAGCAATACTGGACCAGATCTGGATTTTACTGGAGATAGTCTAATCAATATTATTTTCATTTAATGTCTTTTAGATTAAATGAAAAAAATTTTCTAATTTTTTGTTAGAAAATTCCATAAGTATAAAAGGCAAAAGAAAGTGTTATTTTTTGAAATCTGTAGATGCAACACAGTGTTCCTTCCAAATGGTTTTCCAAGCAACTATCAACAGACCAGAGGAAGAGAAACCTTTAAAATGAATTGACAGATGGCTGCTAGAAAATATGAAAATATTATATATATAATTGTCCCTCAGTATCTGTGGGTAATTGGTTCCAGGACCTCAGGAGTACCAAAATCTGAGGATACTCAAGTCCCTTATATAAAATGGTGTTGTATTTGTATGCACATCCTCCCATTTACTTTAAATAATCTACAGATTACTTATAATATCTAGTAGAATGTAAATGCCATGTAAATGTTGTTATACTATATTGTTTAGGAATCAACTTTCAGAAATTTTTGTTTTCTAATACAGGGTGGGGCAAAAGTAGGTTTACAGTTGTGAATACATGAAACACAGAGTTTATTCTTGTATTATTATTTAGCAATTATTGTATTATTTTCCATATGAACAACTGCAAACTTACTTCTACCCCACCCTGTATTTTCGATCTACAGTTAGATGAATGTGAAGATGTGGACCCACAGATATGGAGGACCAACTATTGTGTGTGTGTGTGTGTGTTTGTGTGTGTGTGCATACATACAGTCACCCACTGCTTAATAACGAGTATGTTCTGAGAAATGCACCAAGAGGCAATTTAGTTGTAGAACATCATTGAGCATACTTACACAAACCTAGATGGTACAGCCTATTACTACAATTGTATTTGTTCTACTTTTATATGACTTGCAGTGCAGGTTTTTTACACCAGCATCACCACAAACATGTGAGTAATGCATGAACTATCACATTATGATGGCTATGATGTCACCAGGCAATAGGAATGTTTCAGCTCCATTATAATTTTATGGGACCATTGTTGTATATGTGGTCCATCATAGAACCATTATAATGCAGCACATAACTGTGTGTGTGTGTATTCCTCAAGAATTGGTATAGGATGAACATATATAGGTTTAAGAAAGGATTTTATCCAGTTCCATTCTCATGGATCTAAAAAGGATATGAGAATTTAGGAATAATTTGGAATGTATTCAACCTTCTGAGGCTGAGGTAATAAAAGGCACCAGGATATCTGACAAAAAACTCTTAACTATCTCTATCAAAGGCAGATCACTGGGGGGCAAATGATGGAGTACTTATAGAGTGATAATTCTTCTAACCTTGCAAAGACACTATACATGGACTTAGAGCTACATTTTTATGTTAAAAAAGTTCAACTTTCTGCCTAAGCCTACTTTATTGAATAATTACCTGTATGTTACATGTTACACACACACGCACACACACACACACACGCCCTTCAAAAACAAGAAAAACAAGTTCTTAAAACTGCTTATCCATCCATTACTCCATTACATGATACGGCAAAAAGTGAGTCTTGTTTGTTGTTAAAACAAAATACTTTATGATCTGACTATTATAGCATGAACTTGACAATATTATACTTAGAATTGCCAAAAGCGAAAGGAAAACAAAACAAAACACCAACCCTTCCTTTCCCACATGCACATTTTTCATTTAACATATTTCTCTGTTATAAAACTACTGAGAAAAATCTTACCTCGAACAGCATCTAAGTAGTGAGCTAAAAAGGGAGGAAAAGAGTGATTAAATGAATTTCTGGGAGACCAAAGCTATACAACAAGTACTAATGGTTTACCATCTGTTGCCTGGAAGGAAAACAGCAAACTATAAACTGCAGAATGCCTGCAGCTCAAAAGTTGGTACACTGGCCCATGTAGTTTGGGCATCATATTTTCTCAGGGAAAGATATTAATGGCTTTTCTGCAAGAAACTCTATTAGGCTTCCTTTAAAAAGTTTTATATTTCATTAAAACTATAACAACTGCATTTTTACATTTTAGTAATAACTTTTGTGAAAGAGCACTAGCTAGATAGAACTTCTTCTTAGAAACATGCTTAGAAGGAAGTTCTGAAGTAACCACCTTTAGTAATCACAATATTTAAATCCTCTTATGTGAAGCCAATAAACTTACTGTAGTGCAGGAATGTAATTACTTAAGCTGCATGTGAATCTCACCCTCACCCTCACCACTTTTTAAACGAATCTTAAATATTTTCCACAGTCACAGAACAAGACTTACTGTACCTTTAGTAGAGTGGTAATGCAGTTTATTAAGATTATATGATATATATTATCTATATTATACATTACTTTGGCAAGTTCCAACCACTATAACAAAATACCTTCACCTAAAAATGGAAGCTGGAGTACAGTGTCATGGAGGGGAATAGCCCACAAGCAATGACTTGGGCATTCAGAACCCCATGCTTCCTTTGCTCTGCATGAATTTTCTGCGTGCTCATGCAATGCCACTGGAACACGCTGTGACCCACTTTCTTTAGCTGAACAATGGGAATCGTACTTGTCCCTCTGTATTGCAGGAAACCTTTGTGTCAGATAGTGTGTGTATCAAGGGCTTTGATATTTTTTCCAGAAAAATAAAGTATTTTAAAACTGAAGCCTTCATTAGTATTAATTTTTTATAGTGTGAAGACCACATGACAGGTTAATTATTATTACATAGGCTTTCTCACACCCACAGAAAGTTCTTCCAGGCAACATCCTGAAAATTAGTGAAATTGGTGACAAGGGATGACAGATTCAGTATAAACTTTCTATGCTGTCCAATAAACAATTCAACACAGATGTTCTATTGATGGTAGGTCAGAGGTATCTTCCTCATATTCATTAAAGACAGTGCATAATGATTGAATGGCCCCTGTTGAAGTAATCCTATTTAATAAAATTGCCTCTAAGTGCTTTCAACAGAAAAACCTATACTTTTCAAAAGGAAAAGTGGGCAGAGAATGTTAACCTTCACAAAAGAACTCTTATTAACCAATGACACTTTATTCCAATGTATCACCTTTCATTTGAGTAACTCAAAGTACTTGAAAGCTAAAAGGAATACTGAAGTAACAAGAAAAGAAATGACACAAGAAATAAGTAAGATATTATCAACAAAAGAGGAAACCTCCCATTTAATGACACTTTCAAACTATGGCTAACCCTCCTTCCTCTCTCCGTCAACCTCAAATTCTATGAGAAGCCTGGTGATTGACTCACTAGACTGCTTTTCTCCAATTAATACAATTTACTTTGTTTAAAGTACAGTGGTACTTACCAATAGTGCAGTGGTCGCCCTCCCATCCAGGGCTACACTCACATTTTCCATCTTTGCATTGGCCATGCTCAGCACAGTGAGAATGACAGGAACGTTCTTCACATGTTGGTCCTACCCAGCCTTCTTCGCATTGACAAATTCCCCTTGAGCAGACTCCATGGCTGCCACATTCCATGGTACAGAGCTCTGTGGGAATTCAAAGAAGATATAGTCACATATTTTATTAAAACAAAAATTTACTATGTCCAAAGACATTAGAATTACCAAATGTTACAAAGACCTCTAGCACTTGAGTGAACATACAAGGAATTTCATTAAAAATATAGTTAAGTCTCTAAGTATAAATAAACTCTAAGCCAAATTGATTTTGAGAAGTTCATAAAATGATAATGACATTCAAGGCTTAGAAATGAAGTTAATGCCAAAAAAATGTCAAATGGGTTTCACTAAAAATTCATTAAGATCACAAATAATGTTGCCAGGATTTTATGATGCAAAGCAATCTTTGGTGGAAAAACACACACACAATAAAATAGGACTCTAACTTCATTCAGGAAGAGTGGTTCTACCATTGAAAAGATAACTGTCTAATCAATTTCATCATGTACAAAAGCTGCCAATGATGATAATCCACTCTTTTCCCTGATCCTACTAACAATAGATGCATTTACTTCAAGCATTTAAAATGACTCCTAACTGGTTAAAATACACAGTATTCTTATCTCAAAATATCACCCATATTTAGTTTATATCATCAAGGTATATACTGTCTCTGTGGAGGTTCTCTCCTATGCTCTGTCCTCTTGACTTTTTGTTGAGAAGTGTTGATTATTAGTAAAATTATGACAGTATAGAAGTCCAAATAATAGCTTGACAAGCTTTTCTTGTTGAATATCCCTACTGGAGGAGAAGAAGTGGGATAAAAGCCTAGAGAAAGAATGCAATTGGTTTGGGGCCATATTTCCTTAAAGGAAAAAGAGGGAGTTCTAGAAGCCAAGTTATCTATCTTCCATTGTCTTAAATTCTTAAACTATGTTTATATATTAAGAATGGAAACTGAAAAGCTCTGCACAGCATAAGAAACCATCAACAAAACAACAAGAAAGTCCATTGCATGGGAGAGCATATTTGCCAATGTTATCTCCGATAAGGGTTTAATTGCCAACATTTACACGGAACTCATACAAGGAAGATAAACAACCCAATCAAAAAATGGGCAAAGGACCTAAGTAGATACTTTTCAAAAGAAGACATAAGGAAGGCCAAGAGACATATGAAAACATGCTCAAAGTCACTAATCATCCGAGAGATGCAAATCAAAATGACAATGAGGTACCATCTCACACCTGTCAGAATGGCTATCATCAACAAATGACAAGTGTTGACGAGGATGTGGAGAAAAATGAACCCTAGTACACTGCTGGTGGGAATGCAGACTGGTGCAGCCACTGTGGAGAACAGGTTGGAGTTCCCTCAAAAAACTAAAAAAAAATGGAACTCCCATTTGACGCAGTGATCCCACTTAAAGGAATATATCCCAAGAAACTAGAAACACCAATCAGAAAGGATATACTAGTATGCACCCCTATGTTCATAGCAGCACAATTTACAATAGTTAAGATCTGGAAACAGCCTAAGTGCCCATCAGCAGAGGAGTGGATTAAAAAACTGTGGTACATCTACACAATGGAATACTATGCTGCTGTAAAAAGGAAGGAACTCCTAACATTTGCAACAGCATGGATGGAACTGGAGAGCATTATGCTAAGTGAAATAAGCCAGTTGGAGAAAGATAAATATCACACGATCTCACTCATTTGTGGAAAATAATGAACAACATAAATTGATGAACAAAAACAGATCCAGAGACAGAGAAGCATCCAGCACACCGTCAAACCTCAGAGGGAAGGCAGGAGAAGGTGGGGGGAAGGGGAAGAGATCAACCAAAGGACTTGTATGCATGCATATAAGCTTAACCAAAGGATACAGATACTAGGAGGGTGAGGGCATGAGCAGGGAGGTCCGGGGGCAGTGGGGGAATAAGGTCACATATGTAATACCTTAATCAATAAAGAAAAAAAGAGAAGTATTAACACATGATGATTTTAGGTTACCCTATATTACATGTAACAAAGCTTTTCATATGTAACAAAGGTCTCTCCACTCTATAGATGGCAGAGTTGTTTTTTTTTTTTTTAGTAGGAGAGAATATTCTTCTGATAAAACCAAGGTTATGGATTTTATTATTACCTAGATCAATTTGTTCACTAATTTATTTACAAGTATTCTTTGAAGGTGAAGTTCTGATTGGAAAAATAGTGGATGTGAAATAAAGATTTCTTTACATAAAAGCTGTGTACCCTTAGGCAAATTACTAACATGTGCTCTTAATCTCTGCTTGTGTAACTACACAATGAAAGTAATAATATTTGCACCTAATAGGGCCATTGGACAAATCTGAAATATATCTGTAGGTAGAACCAATAGGATTTCCTCCTCATGACTGGATTTGGCGAGTGAAGTTTGAGGAAAATAAAAGTTTTGGCTTAATCAAGTGGGTGGATAATGTTGCCATTAAGAATAGCAGTGGGAGATCAAACAAATTAATTTTGAGATAATGTATAGCTAGCCAAGTGAAGATGTCAATTAAGGAGTAGAATATATGAATTTGACAGGCTAGGGCTGGAAATATGAAATTGGCAACCATTAGAATATATGTGACATTAAAAGTGTGAGACTAGATGATATTCTAAAGAACAAAAATAGAAGAGCCTCAAAAATAAGCCCTGAGGTATTCCATGATTTAAGATAAGACAGAAGAGGGCAATGAGTGATAGAAGAAAATCCAGGATATTGTAGTGTAACTAAAGCCAAAAGGGGACACTTTTAAAGGAGGAAGGGAGTAGTTATCTGTATAATATTGGAAATTGTGGGTGACTTTAGAAAGAACCATATTGATAAAATGATAGTTGTAATGCAAGACTGGAATGGGTGAATGAAAAGAGTGACTGGAAACCTGTGTGTGTGATTGCCAAATTGTAAAAGTCCAGATCCCAGAAAATACAAAAGAAAAAGGAGGGGTTGGCCTAATAATAAATGGTAGCTCCAATAGATTAATCTTGAAACAGTACCTACTCTCTACATCTTGGTTCTGAATCTGATTGATAATCTGGATTTGTAATCTTAATTCTTGTGGTGAACCTAATTTTATAATTATGCTCCCCTTAATGGCCTCTCCCAAGACACTAAAAGCTGCACTGAAAGGCCTTTCTAAGACCAGGGAGTTAAATTGGTCTTAGCCAATCAGGTCAGAGCTAACTGAAACAATTAGAGACAAACATTTTGCATTATTGCTTTATATATTTATAAATTTTAGGCTTAGAGGAGTGTATCATTCTGGTGATTTCCTAAAAAGTAATAGGACTAGATAAACAGTATCAGCAAAATAACAGACTAGACTATCCTTAATCCATCTCAATATAAACCCTTACAAATGTTGACTATAATGCAATACTTTTAAAAGCAGCATGTATTAGCTCACAAGACAGATAAATTCTTTTTTTAAAAAATATATTTTATTGATTTTTTTACAGAGAGGAAGGGAGAGGAATAGAGAGTTAGAAACATCGATGAGAGAGAAACATTGATCAGCTGCCTCCTGCACACTCTCCTATTGGGGATGTGCCCGCAACCAAGGTACATGCCCTTGACTGGAATTGAACCTGGGACGTTTCAGTCTGCAGGCCGACACTCTATCCACTGAGCCAAACCAGTCAGGGAAAGACAGATAAATTCGTAAGTGTCAGAAGCAAAAATGTTGTTAACAGCCAAAGCAGTAAACATATAAGTTAACCCTCTGGCAGCCTTTAAGTGTTATCATACCCAGTAATAACCCGGGGCTGGGGTATTTACATTCACAAAGGGAAAAGAGATGAAGTCTTTGGATCACTTACAATTGGGGAGTTAGACTAAAATTCTTATAAGAAAGCAAGGACTCTTGAAAGGCTGAAATATTAGTGAAATGGAGACTAATAAATTATGTACTATCCCAGAGAAATAGCAAGGAAGCATTGACTAGAATAATAATAATAATGATCTATAATAATAAAAGTGTAATATGCTAATTAGACCGGACAGTCAAATGATCTTCCAGACGTCATTCTGGATGTCCTTCCAGATGAAGTTGCGGTTTCAGGGGCTGAGGCAGAGGCAGTTACGGGTGATCAGACAGGCAGGCGAGTGGTTAGGGGCAATCAGGCAGACAGGCGAGCAGTTAGGGGCAATCAGGCAGGCAGGCAGAATGGTTAGGGGTGATCAGGCAGGCAGGTGAGGGGTTAGGGGAGATCAGGCAGGAAGAGTGGTAAGGGGCAGTCAGGCAGATAGGCAGAGGTTGTTAGGGGTGATCAGGCAGGTGAGCGGTTAGGGGTGATCATGTAAGCAGGCAAGTGGTTAGGGACAATCAGGCAGGCAGGCAGAGGGGTTACGGATGACCAGGCAGGCAGGCAAGTGGTTAGGGGTGATCAGGCAGGCAGGCGAGTGGTTAGGGGTGATCGGGCAGGCAGGCAGAGGGGTTAGGAATAATCAGGCAGGCAGGCTGGCAAGTGGTTAGGGGTGACCAGGCAGGCAGGTGAGAGGTTAGGGGTGATCAGGCAGGCAGGCAAATGGTTAGGGTCAATCAGGCAGGCAGGAAAAGGCAGTTAGGGGTGATCAGTCAGGCAGGAAAGCAGTTAGGAGCATCAGACAGGCAGGCAGAGTCATTAGGGCCAATCAGGCAGGCAAGCAGAGGTGGTTAGGGGTGAACAGGCAGGCAGGCAAGTGGTTAGGAGTGATCAGGCAAGCAGGCGAGTGGTTAGGGGTGATAAGGCAGGCAGGCAGAATGGTTAAGGATGATCAGGCAGGCAGGCAAGCTAGTGGTTAGGAGCAAGCAGTCCTGGATTGCAAGAGGGTGCAGGCTGGGCTGAGGGACACTTCCCCCCCTGCACAAATTTTGTGCACAGGGCCTCTAGTCTATAATAATGAAAGGGTAATATTCTAATTAGACTGGACATCATTCTGGATGTCCTTCCAGATGAAGCCAGGGCTGTAGGGAAGCCCGAGTCCCGGGTGCCTGCTGGTGGCCTGATGGAAGCCTGGGTCCTGGGTGCTGGAGGGAAGCTGGTGTCAACAGCTGGGGAA